GATTGTTATTAACTCTGGAAATGTCATCAACACAGACGTATTTTCCTATTAGATAATTAATACCTCTGATATATACTATAAGACTTAATTAAAAGTACCTCTGCTCACACACTAATCTTTACTGAAGCAGTGCTTCAACTGAGAAGTTCTAACTTCCCAACATTTTAAATATGCCTTATAATGCTGACATGAGGTGCTTCAAACAAATGGCTTTGTTCCTTTAACCCTCTTAAAAAAAAACAAAACTGAAAAAAAAGCCCCAACAAAAAACTCAACCAACTATATTCACTTATTTTCCATAAGGATATGTATTTTTACTTATCTACAAAGTCTCAACCCTCTCCTACATTTCTATTTTTTTGTATACAAATCTAGAGGCTGGGGATGCAGCGTGTCTTATCTCCTTTCCTTTCAAAAGAATGCAAAGAAAACAAACGTAGTTTCCCTCAGTTTGGTTGGAGGCCATCAAATCTAGGATGCCTATAGATCTACGCACACTTTGTATCCAAAACATAAGTTAATGAACACATTCAAAAAGCTTCAGTCTGTCTTATTTTTTCAGTTTTTATCCCATTTAACTAAATTTACCTCTGCTCTGCTTTTCCAGCTGTTCTCCTTTCAATCTACAATCTGAATTTCCAGATAAACAAAAAGCAACATCCCCCTCAAAAACAGAAAACCACAGGCTACACAGATTAACACCTTTTAAAAAGTCCTTTATAAAGGATAAACAAATCCAATCCACCTACTTGTTTATTCAGGCAGTTATCAATTAAATTGACTTCCTAGTCAAATCTTCGTCACTATATTATTAACAGCGGTCTATTGTCTGGTTCTCAAAATTACAGCTTTGAAGATGTGATTTGCTCAAAACCAGGAATTTTAGACAATACAGGAGCCGTTTAATGTTACATAACAAATGTCATTACATTTGGAAGGATTTGGGGTCTCCTGATATTTTTTGGTTTCTTAGATTTAGCAACAGACTTAGCAACAGCCACAACGTGTCTACCCCAAAAACCTGGGAGCTAAACCAACTGTAAGAACACAGGATCAGACGGTAACTTCCAGTACCACTGTCTGTGTTGCCAAAGAGCTTCTTACTAGTCTTCTACCTCCACACAAAATCATTACCTGAAGCCAGGTTGAAGCAAGGCACAGTCTACTCGTTAATAGAATTAACATCACTTTAAGGCCCTTAGTTGCCACTTCTTTTAAGAGTTACTACATCCCTCATACCAGCTGGGTATTTTAGAACTCAAGTCAACTTAGCAACATTGTTTTTCCTTCAGAAGACTCTTAAAGAATATCACTGCTCAACTGAAGTTTTCAATTGTAACAGTGAAGATGCACTATTTTTCCTATTTATTCTTTGTAGGAACAGGATGGGAGAAAGATAAGATGAAAGGGAAGCAAAACAAGATTCTTTTTTGTGCATCAAAACAGTAATTAGTCATTTAAATATCTTGTGACTTGATGCTTGAATATTAAATCTCTTTGATTGCATTTTTCCCTAGGGAAAGTTATTTAGTCAAGAGGAGAGCTCTTAGCTCCAAATATGTGTTCATTTAAAATTACATTTATGCAAAACTCAAAGAACTGCTAGAATTCTATTTATAAAAAGTTATAAATGCTTGTTCACACTAGTGGAAGCCGCCCTCTCCTCCAGACTCTTACGGACACTTTGCCATCTGTTTGTAATACAAAACATCTATCATTTTCGTATTAGGAAAAAAAGTCCTCCAACTCAGGTTTTCAGCTGCTACATAACACAAACAACTACTAACCTTCCTAAATCCTGCATGGCATGAAGTTTGGGAAACACAACACGGCAGTATTAAACCTGTGAGGTTTGCTGTGACTTAGGTCATAAAATTGTGTCTCTCTGTTGTCAACACCAACATAAAACTGAAGAGAAAGCTTTTTAGGGCAACAACAGGGAAGGAAGGAAATTTAGCAAGTTTGCAGAAACACGAAGGAGGAAGAGTTTAATATCAACTATTTCACGTAAGATTCGAAAGGCATTCAGAAAGACACACCTGTGTCTACTGATGGCAAACAAATTTCTCTTGGGGGTGTGTGCTTGTGTGCATATTCAAATACAGGCATGAGCAAACTTTAACTAAGGAAAGTGTCTACTTACGCCCACTGCTGTGAAATTTAACCCTCGAAGCTAGATTTAGGAAACAAAAGCATCACATTAACCACAAAAACAAACCTTATAATTAATGTTTAATATCTTTCCCTTGCCCATTACTACTTTTCCTTAGCTAGGACATATCTCTCTAGGTTTAGGGAGACTATACAGACAGCCCATGTAATTTTCTAGCCTGAAAACTTGTAGCTGCCAGGCAAGCAGTAAAAGACAGCAATCTGACATTTCTACATAAATAAATGCCCACTCGCTCACTTGAACTGAGAAATGAACTCAGCAAGCATCATAGCAAACAACAAAACTTAAAATTCTGGTACAAGAGGAAACTAAGGGTGCTTTCTCTTATATTCAGAATCTACAGGTTTCAATTCAGAACATATCTATTGTGTCAAAAAGAAATACAAGCATTCTAAGCACTGCTACCTATTCCTCAATGGATACCATGCTAAAGTTTTGAGCACCTCTACAAAAATAAACACCACCAAAACAAAACCATAAAAACCACCAACCTTCCAATTAAAAACACAAAAAAACTCCATCACACTTCACAATATACATTTTAGCGGATGTTTAAAGCAACTTATGACTTGCACAAGACTTGGAAATACTGAATTATGTTCAAATGGTAGGGAGTTATGCTACAAAAGCCTCAGAGAGCAGTTACTGAATAGACAACAGAATGAAGAGTATTACTCTCTAGAAATCACTCTGCTTGAAGACATTTCACAAAAACTCATAGACTCAGTTAACTTATAGCAGTAGTGTCACAGACAGGAAACTCCACTTAAAGATCATACTTCACTTAAAATAAAGGTAACTCAAAGGATTCTACATCTGGAAATACAAACAGAAACTTCAGAGCTGCCACCTTTAACAGACAAGGAAAGTCTGACAACTACAAAAACTCGGCACTATGAAACTATCACCTTTGTTCCTAGCACCAAATTTCAAAACCTGCTTATGTAACTATTTCTACAGTTCTCCCCTATTTGCTGTGCTTAATACACAGATGGGAAAAACTGATTATACTAAGGAAATAGCTAAAGATTTGTAAACACTGAAAGTAACAACACACTTCAGAGCCGGGGTTTTCAACAACAACCGCTACCGAGTGTTTTATCTTCAGCAGTAACAGCTAGTGATTGTTTCACCTATCTTGGAAAGCGCTGAGCGAATGATTAAACGATCCCAAAGTTCAAAAAGGTTTAAGTTTCACCCTCCACTGAGAAAGCAAAATCGAGCGGGAAACGACAGACTTTTAGCCTCCCAACACGGATTTGCTCGCTTTCAGTCGTGCTTCAGAACCGACTTTCGGAGGAACCATCACAATTTTACTTACGCCTTACAGACCTCTAAGTGTGTCTGAAGGTGTTTCTACGGTTTTCAAGTAAACCCAAGCGGAACCCCATCCGCTCCCTATCTCTGGGCAGGGGAGGGAGGTCCCGCTCCCCTGAGCCGCGGGGTCGCGCGGCGGCGGGAGCGCGCACGGGCCCGGCCGGCCTCAGGGGAG